CCCCAATGTCATCTTTACCTTTCGGACGTTCTTTTGATCCAGTCGATGGCCAACCACGCGGTTGGTGACGCCGGTTTTGGGGCCCCAAAGGCCCACTTGCCAGCAAGCAGGTACTGGCTATGGTCATATCAGGGGATTTGGGACGGCTTTCGGATCTTTCGGCTTGTCATCCAACCGAGTTTTAATTTGAATCCTAGACTTGGTTGTGCCCGATGTCAGCTTGAGGTCGCCCTGAACCAGGATGGGTCCACATGTGGTTTTTTCCCCCAAGGAGCGGCAGTCCGTCCACACGATGGCAACGATGCGGATGCGGGTCACTCGAAAAATCGACTACAAGAACTGATGCGAATGTGCGTCCCTGTGATACCCAAAGGACATCTAACCACTCCGCGCGAGAAAAAAGAAGGAACAAGCTAGACAACGGGAGTGCTGGGGAATAGAAACAGGCAGAAAACGAGGCCCTGTGCATCTGCACGTGGTGCGAAGCATTCCAGGAGTTCCCCCCAACAAAGAGGAAGTTAAAAAGCCAAGTTGCTGACATCCCCTGCTACGGACAAGATCAACAAACGGAGGTGTCCGTACTCAAGTCCTGTGTCGGGCGTGGTCTTTGCAAAGGAATCCAGTTGGCCTCTAGTTGGCAAGTCCGGAAAGAGCGCCAAACAAAAACACAAGCAAGAAGCATTGGCAGGACAAAGCTAAATTACATCTTAACAAACGTGAAAAAAGCGTGAGGGATGAAATCACAAGGTCCTTGCTTGTGTCTTCCTATAGGATATTTTCAAAATGAGAGGGCTATCGGCAGGAGCCGGAGGCGTCAAAGTGAGCTGGCTACTTGGCTGTGGTTGGCAGGTGAAGCTTTAGCGAAGAATTCAGAAAACAAAAATGGAGACGGGGAACAGGTGCGCTCCAAACGCTGTTTGTGTATGTGTGTGTGTGTGCGCGCGCGTACGTGTGGGTGTGTGTATGCGCGGCTGCGCCTTTCACTTTTGTGGGTTGAGAGAGAAAAAGGCAGAAGAGAGACGGAGAGAGAGACAAAGAGAGAGAGAGAGAGAGAAAAAAAAAAAGGCAGAAGAGAGACGGAGAGAGAGAGAGAGAGAGAGAGAGAGAGAGAGAGAGAGAGGAGAGAGAAAAAGCAAAAAAACACCTCCCAGCTCTGTGGACTTTGCTGGCGTAAGAACTTTCAGCAGGGTCGAATGCAGCTGGCACAAATAGAGCCCATTTAGCAAAACATGTCTGCCTCTCATGAACAACATAAAGTTCGTTTAAGTTGCCGAGCATGGCAAACAACAAAGGATGAAGGACGGGCAACATGGCACGGGACTTCCTATAGACAATGTTTCTTCTAAACAACGGTGCATCACCAGGGCGGCACGGGAAATCCGCGCCGTTGTTTTTGTTCTTCTCGGTACGGAGGTTGGAAGAACACTAAGCCTCGGATTCATCAACCTGGAGTTTTGAGCGGATGTCCCCAAGGACCCCCTCGAACATGAGGAACCTCCAATCAACTATACCTGGATCCCCAAGTAGCCACGTTTTTCCAGCCAGTTTACCCGCTAGTAGCCCATAAGTTGATGCAAAAGTAGCTGGAAAATAGGCAATTGTTGGTTGGGATGGTGGTTCGAAGGTTCGGGGCGGCTTCCCATTTGTACCTTCTACAAGAGCCAGCGGTGGAAATTCAAATCAAAACGAAAATCCAAGCCACCACTTCCAGTGGATGGGCCAAAAAGGTCTAAGCCTCTTACTTACCACCACAATGGTCCGAACCCCAACAAGTGGACTAAACGGATAGAATCAGGGTACCCGATTATTTTTCTGTGCTCTATTTCAGTAGGGGAACCCTCCCCCAAACAAGTTGGTAAAAGGGGCACTACTGGACCACCTAGTCAAGTCCGAACCCAACTCGGGGAGCGATCTGGGCTGACCTCGAGCTCGCCCCGCGCTGGCCTTGAGCTTCAGGGCGGTCTCCACATGGACGCCCCGGTACTCCTTCAGCTTGCCGGACATGCCCACGCCTCAAGTCCCGTGGCCAAACCGCGGCGGCTTGGGATGTTTTCAAGCGACTTTCCGGCCACGAAAATAGCCCGCCAGTAGCCCATAACTTGATGCAAAAGTGGCTGGAAAATAAGTTGGCCTTGCTGGGGATCCAGGCATGTCTAGCCTTCCCCCCAGAAACTCTCAAGTCACCGTTAATTGGTGGTTTGGATTGTTTGGAGCTAGGATGATTTGAACCCCTGGTTCTAGAGGGTAGATGTGTTGTTCCCCGCCAGATCAAACCACCAAACCAGCGATTTGCCTCCGCCTCCCAACCACCGGGCATGGAAGGATGGAGCTGGGAGTCTTCGAAGGGGGGCCTTCGAAGGGAGCCTCTGGGGCAGTTTCTTGCGGCAATCAAGGCGGGTACAAACCAATCGCGAACCCCTGAATAAAAGAAGATTTATAAAACTGGGCTGTCCTCAGATGCGAAAGTTTAACCTTTGGTGGGTCAAGTGGAAATCCCCACTAAACACTAAAAAGCTAAGAAGCTTAAGCGGATGGCTGCTAACCACCCAGAAAAAGGTTTCGGTGACAGAACAGTACTGCCTGAAGGGGTGCCATACAATAGACACGAGGTATGCCCTATTACACGCGGCACGCGGAAAACTGAGCGGGTCTTCCATTTCCCCCAACAAGCAACGCACGTATCAAAACAAACGTATTGCACAACTAGATACTCCAGTAGAGAGGTTAGAATAAGGGTACCCTTCTTTCTGTAGTCAATTTTAGTAGGGGAATCCTCCCCCAAAAAAGTTGGTAAAAGGGCACCTAGCTGGGGGACCTAGTTGCACAACCTTTGAGAGAATGGACACAAACACAGGGGCTGTTCTAGATCCCCGCCATTCTCTCTGCGGAGCCTTCTGCACCGCTTCCGCGCGCTCAACTTCGTCTGCTTCGAACAGTGTTGCGAACGCAGATCTTGGAGTTCAACCCCCATGAACAGCATGGTTGACCCACTTTGGATGATGAAACTGCTTAGATAAATAGTGGTACTTCTATTCACCCCCTTTGTTTTTAATGGTGGTTTGCACCCCAGAAGACTTTTTGGTGGGAACTCGGAACCCCGCCCGGAGCCAGCTTGCAAGATCGAATCCAAGCATCCGACCGGATGCGAAACATGGCCCACGAAATGTAAGACCTTTCGGGCTCGATGGGAAATGTTTCGACCAGGTTTCACCCACACCAGGTCCCATGGGAAATCTAAGAACCCCTCAATACGAGAAGCCGTTTCTCTTTGCTTGCACTGGCCTTGTAACCGAGGGCGGGACGTGACGTGTATCAAATGCACCAGCTTAAAGTACGCCAGGGTCACAGGATGCCAGGGTGCTCATGCCGACTTCAAGCATGGTTCTGGGTGAATCATGACTCGTCAACCCTTTTTTTGGGATACGCGCATGAAAGCAAACGATCTTTTTGGTGTTCGTCCCGACGAGCGCAGGTGGATGAAACAGGAGCCAGGGTTTTCAGGATTCTTGCGTCATGTGGCGCAAATTGAAAATAGAAAGGCCTATCGGCCTAAAAATAATTGAGAACCTTTTAGTCGCTCTTTCAACAGCAAGGGAGCTCCCTGCAAAATATTGGATTTCCTCTTGGTTTGCCAAAACATCCATGAGGCGAATGCTTGACGCGTGGTTCACTTTTGACTAAATCTGGTTCATGCTTGACCACATTTTTTTCGCCATGCCCTTCAGTCTTCGCATGTGTCTTTCTCGTTCCGAAAATCCGTGGGGTAGAAATCCATGGGAAAAGAAAGCAAACCAAGCCTTCTATTTCGATCGGAACCAACTGTTGACCTTGCCGGAAGGCGTGACATGGCATAGTTGTCGCGGCAGCCCACAATCTCCACCATGAAGGTCATGTCGTAGTTCTAGTGGCCCAGGCACCCAAGCAAACATACTTGTCGACTCTTTTTGTTCTTGTTCCCCAATAGCTGAAAGCTTTGGGGTCTCAGCCCAGATAAGCTCCGGGGTAGTCCGGGGCGGCCCTGAGGGAAGGTTCCACGAGGGTTCCACCAGATTTCCACGAGGGTTCCACAAGGTTCTGCAAGGGTTCTGGGAGGATGGGGTGCAGTTGGGGATATCGCCTGAGCTTATTTCGTTTTCCGAAAAATACTGCGCCTCCTTCCCAAACTTGGGGGGGGGGGGGGGCGACAACCACATGAACAACCCACATGTCCATGTCCATCTACCGAACCTGTCACAGGGAAATGCCTGCCTCTTGTGTGTTCCACCAACATGCATGCGTATATATTATTCATCCGCTCACAGGAAGTAAATATCACTCCCCCTTCCAGTCAAAGGGGGCTCAAACTCTGAAATGTGCGAGCTGCGCATTCGGCAACTTCCCCAGTTCGAGGTGGGCAACTTTCCAAATTGCGCAGGCAAGAACCCTGTCTAAGACAAAAGGTTTGAGAACACAGCGGAGCGGTTGGTGCAGGGTCATTCCAACCAAATATATTAAAAGACCTTATGAAGGAAGGCTGGCCTAGCGTGTCCTGTCAACATTGGATGAAAATACTTCTACCGCTCACCTGGTTGAAAATGGGCAAAAAGAGACACGCGCAAGTCGAAAACTCAATTCGTTTGGACAACTGAGACCATGTTTGCGAAGCAAGGCAGGAAGCAAGAGCTTCAGATTCCCGCTGAGCGAGAAGAGACGTTCTTGTTTCCCATGCACAGTGACATGTCCCTCTTTGCGGGGCTGTGAACAAAACACAACATCACCTTTTGGCTTGCCGGTTTCGGCTAGTTTCTCCTAGGTGGGGTGACTGAACAAATATGACTGCGCCGGGGATCCGGGAGCTGTTTGGCTGATTGGCCAGCGCATGCATTTGCGTTACCTCGTTGCGTCAAACACAACCAGCCTCCAACCTCAAAGCCTCAAAGTCGCTTTCCGTCTTTTCTATATCTTTGCACACCTGGAATAGGAAATCCCCAAATAAAAAAGCCTTCCTCGGTGAGCTTGCATTACCCCCAGTTGAGCTCGTCGGAGTTTTGGCCCTTGCAGCTGGACCTGGCTTCCTGTGCCTCGTCGGGGGAGCTCAGGCGGCACCGCAAGTGGCCGCTGGCATGCACGTCCTGCACGCGGGAAATCCAATGACTAGTAGAGCTCAAGCTAGGATTACATGTAAATCGGGCTCCAAATCCCAAACCACCGGCTGAGGTCAACGGTCGGCTGCAAAACAACCAAGGATCCGTCCCGTGGGTTCCATAATCAGGGTTCTGGTCGATACAAAATGATGAGGAGTTCCAAACCACTCTTCCAAAACCGCCTTTCTGTTCGTAAAACACTACACAGGTCAAAAAAGGCGTTGCAAGCAGCTCCGGCGCCGGCCTTGAGAATTATCTTAGAGAGCTCTTTGCCACACGCGACATCAGCTTCTTTTGGTTGATGCGGTTCCAGCGCGGTCATGGTGCAAATCAAATACTCGCTGCTTGCCGGGATCTACTGACGCCTTGAAGCCCCGCGCTTCGCTTTTTTAGTGAGCTATGAGAAGCCCACGATATATCTGTGGGCATAGCAAGAATCTGATCGGGCAATCACCCACATTTCAGGTGCGAGCTTCTGGAACCGCACATGGACCGAAATGGGAATGCATGTTCGGTCAGTCCAATGGGGCCAAGATGTCCGTGCATTCATAGATGGCTGAGGGCCTTTTTTGGGGTACAGCCCTCACGTTGGGGTTGTCTAGGACAAGAAAAACAACTTAGAAGAAACTTCTGTAGCACTGGCGATAGGTGAAAGGCTAGCTCTCGTTTCAAAGTAAGGCGCAGCGCTTGGGATAGGAAGTGCTTGAAGTGAGCGCCCTGTGCGTGTTTCGCGTCTTCTGAGGAGCGCACAGCTCTGGCGCGACGCCTGTTTTTCACAGGTTCATAACGGGTGCGGAACGAGTGCAAAACAGGTTCAGCACCGGGTCCATTGGCACGGACGCGTGCACTTGCGCAACATGAGTTTGCGTGACAGCTGCGCTTTGGCAACCTGAGGCACAGATTGCGTGGAAGGCGCAGCGCTTTATTCGATTGGCGGTCAGATTTTGTGACAGGTGCAACAATTTTGGAAAGTCAGGTACACATTTCGTGACAGGCGCAGCACTTTCGCAATGCTGGAATGCGTTGTTCGCTAATCCCAAAGGCACGGACGTGCAAACTGTCACGTGCCGATATCGTGGCAGGATGTGGCAGGCGCAGCACTGTCGCATTGCAAGGTCAGGAACAGATTTTGTGGCAAGCCCTGCACTTTCGCAAGATTGATATATACATAGCGAGATAGCTAGATCGCCAAATGGCTACAACAACATAGATTAAATGAGCCTAATTTGGACTGGGTAGATAGATAGATAGGCAAGTAGATAGATAGATAAATACAAGCTCAAAGTAGACAGATGGATAGATAGATAGATAGATAGATGGATACATCCGAACTGAGAGCAGATAGATAGAAAGCGGGGTTAGATAGATAGAACTACTGCCAGCCAGCCAGACTGCCAGCCAGCCAGCCAGCCAGACAAACAGACAGACAGACACCCAGAGAGATGAGATAGATGAGATAGATACAACAAACAGAACTCGTCATATATAAATACTTTCAAACCAAATGGGGGTAGATTGCTAGATCTCTCAGATAGGACATAGGTATAGGAATGGACAAATAGGGATAGATAAGGATAGATAGGGATAGATAGATACATTAAATATATAAATACATAGATAGATAGATCGATAGATAGATAGATACATAGATGGCTAGATAGATAGACAAATAGATAGACATATAGATTAGACAAATAGATGCATAGATCGATTAGAGTACATTACGTAGCAATAGATTCGACTAGATAGATAGAGACAAAGATAGCTAGACAAATAGAAAGAAGTATAGTCAGACAGAAAGCACACATGCGTAGATAAGTAGCAGGCAAACACATAAGTATATTCGTAGGTAGATAGGTGGATAGGGTGGCTGGATGTGATGGATCAATGAATAGACAGTTTGCTAGCTAGATAGATACATAGAGAACTTGGTGGAGGGAAAGGCACATAGACAGCTAAAATTATACATAGTATAGATACCTATATACAGATAGCAAGAAATACATCTAGATAGAGAGAAGTATACATAGATAAATCAATACATAGGTAGAATGATATATAGATAGTTGCATCGATTAGATACATAGTTAGGTAGTTCGAGAGACATGTTCATAGACAGATACATAGATAGATAGATAGCTAGAAAGCCAGCTAGATAGATAGACACATGGATTAGATACATTAAATTGAATACATACATTGGATAGATTGGTAGACAAGTAGATAGATAGATAGGGTAGGATAGGATAGGATACGATAGGATAGGATAGATTAGATTAGGATAGATTAGATTGACAGATACATCGATAGACAGAGATAGATAGATATATAGATAGACTGACAGACAGACGGACAAACAGACAGACAAACAGATAGATAAATAGAAGACAGATAGATAGAAGACAGGTAGACAGATTGATAGATTGCTAGATGGATGGTTCGATATATATATATGTATATTGATAGGCGGATGAAATGATAGATACATTTGATAGATTCGATACAATAGATATGTTAGGTACATGGTAGATAGATGTAGATAGATGTAGATAGATACAGATAGATGTAGATAGATGTAGATAGATGTAGATAGATGTAGATAGATGTAGATAGATGTAGATAGATGTAGATAGATGTAGATAGATAGATCGATGTATCGAAGGATAGATGTATAGATACATACATAGACAGATACACATAGTTTGACTGATCGATTTGCAGATAGATAAGTGGATGGACTGACGGATGGACGGATGGGTGGGATGAGAGATGAAGAGACGGAGAAACACAAGATAAATATTCATCAAACAAACATCAACAGGACGAGGAAGAGAAAATGAAAGAAAAGAGAAAGCAAAAGAGAACAACAAAAACATAAAGAAAACATAAAGAACCGATATGGACCGGTAAAAAAGAGAAGAAATATAAATATAACTAGTAAAATAAATAACAATATACATATTCAGAGACAAATAAAGAGAGGAACAAGGAGAAAGAGAAAGACAACTATGCTTTTTGTGTTTTCGGAAACCTCCGACAACCAGCTCTGAACGGCATACTGGCACTAGTTGGTAGCCTTAAAACACAGCCTAACAAAAACATGTTGGCGCAGGTTTGGCTTTTGAATAAAGATCTTGCTTGGTATCCCAGTCTCAATCTCTTCCATGCGCAGCCTTTACCATGGATTTTCGGCTTCCTGGATTTGTCTCAAACAACCACCCAAAAGCTTGGCTAGGCTTCGACCCCCTGCAGAACGCTTACTCTTTGCTGGTGAAACAAACAGGAGGGAAACAAGAAAAACAACAACTAGGTTCTCCAATAGAGAGGTTAGCATAAGGCTACCCTTTTTTTCAGTCGTCTTTTTTAGTAGGGGAACCCTCCCAACCAAAACAGGGGTGAGAAAGGGCACATAGCCGGGGGTCCTAGAACCGGTCACTGAGCATCGCAACGAAAGAGGGACTGCCTATCCCTTCCCCCCCCGTCCAAGTACTTGTGCGTGAAGAAAGACTTCAGGCGGATCATGTCTCCGGCTTTCACCACGCCAGGCCCTGCCTGCGAGCGATTGAAGAAACTGAATGGGGTGCTTCCAACGAATTTAGGCCATGGGAAAATGATAGGAACCAGTCAGCCCCTCATATTGCCCTTCCAACCAAACGAACAAGTCGCCCTCTTGGCACCTTTCAGTAAGACCGTCGTATTCTTCGGCGGGGTGGTTTGCCGCATGATATGTAAGGGACTTGCACGCTGAAACACTGTTTGTCAAGCTCCCCACATGGAAGGCGACATACGGCCCCCAACGAAGTTTCTGGAAATTGAGTGTCGTTTCTCAGGGTCCTGACAATTTGCTGCGGACAGAGAAAGAGAAAGATCAAGAAAAAGAGAACACAGAGAAACAAACGAGACAACGACGAACGAACAAAGGAAGGAGGAAAGAGGAAGGAGGTAAAGGAAAGAGAAAGAGAAAGACAAATACAATGATAAACGACATGGAGATACAAATCAGAAAAACGTGCTCATAACTGTAGATGATGAACTCACACACACTGAGAGACAACTACCTACGCTTGGTGAGGATTTTGGACAGGCGTCGTTGCAAATGCAAATTGCGCAGACATGGAGCCCACCTGAGGTCCTTTTCAGTCTTGCAGAACCCTGCAAAGGGTTCCATGTTTCTGGATGGGAGGGTACTCGGGTACTCGAATACGTGTTTTTCTCATTATCATGTCTTTTCCCATTATCTTATTCATTATCTTTCTCCTTTCTCTCCTTCTTCCTCTTTCTCCTTCCCCTTCTTTCCTTCTTTCTTCTTCTGACTTCGTTCTCTTTCTCGCCCCCTCGAAAGTGAGCACGGAACGGACCGAGTTCTCAAAATTGTCGACCAGCCGGAAGCCCGCAGTCTCCGAGAAACCGAGGGGTGTGCATGTTGAAGCATCGAAATCACCCGGACCACGCGAGCTCTCCTTTGATCTTGGATTGCTCATGCGCAGATATACAGTATATATGTATATATAAGATATACATATTGCGCATAGAGAGCTAATCAAAGAAAGCAGACTCGAATAGTTCCAGTATGGATGAACAACGCATGTGTATAATAGATATATATATATATATATATATATGTATATATACACACACATTATACACCTTGTCAAAACACACCTACAGCAAGCATGTTACCCATACTTGATATTCAACGTTCGACAATCTATTCGAGACTTTGCTAGTGCTCAGCAGGGAAAAGAAATGCAATGACCCTCATAAACTGTCCAACTGGTGGTTTACTTTAAGGGGACCAAAGCCTGGGTTCATTCCATTTCACATTCCCTACTTCTCCTAGGTCTTCCAGTAGAGAGGTTAGAATAAGGGTACCCGATTTTCTTTCTGTAGTCTATTTTAGTAGGGGAACCCTCCCAACCAAAACAGGGGTGAGAAAGGGCACCTAGCTGGGGGTCCTAGTTTCGCACCAGCAAGAAAATGCGTACCCCGAACCGAAAGCAAACATTTGGCCAATCGCCGGAAGCCCCCCCCTATATACATGTACACATCGTGTTCTTATGATCATGAAGTCCCCCCCCAAACCAACCCTATTCGCATCAATAAGGCCCTTGTAGCGCCCTCCCCCCCCCCGTAATTCCCCAGGTCTCCAAATAATAACTGGGTAGGTATATATGTAGGTATCCCTCCAAATGAGGTTTTTTCGTAGCTGTCCAGAGCCATACAATTTAGAGAGCATGGCCAGAAACTTCAAAAACATATGCGGTAAAAATAATTATTATACGTGTTGTTTGCTGTGGTTTTAGCGGTTGGTTGTTGCTCTTGTGGTTTCGTTGCGCGAACAGTGTTGCAAAATTGTGTGGAAACACGGGCTAATTTTAATTCCCCAGATGGCTGCAAAGGGCTTGTGTTGCGCCGAAACAGTTTGACCAAGATTAGTTTGTTTGTCGCATTTTCTGGCATTTGGAGGCCTCTTCTGGGCACTTTGTCGTTGCGGGTGTTATGGCCTCAGCCTTTTAACAGCCGAACACCATAGGTGTCCTGTTTGGTAAAATAGATGGCCCTGGTAAATGGAAATGAAACCAACATAAACTGGTGGACCCCTTCTAGTTCTATGCAAACCAACCGATCAAAAGGACACCTTTGCCGAAAACCCGAACGCGCCGCAACTCACTTCCACTCACCTTGTGTTTACCACCAAAATACTTTAGGGGATGGTTTGTGGGTATTTTGGGGCAAAACAAGTCTGCCCAAACGACATTGAACTCGAGTCACCGAAACATGGTCCAAACCCAAGACGTCGACACTCCACGAACTCGGGTGAAAAAGTGAACTCGTGTGAGACCACTTGCCCCTTCAAGATCCAGACAAGGCGATCACCTTTTGACACCTCGAAAACACGGACACCAAGCGGTGAAAAGGTCGATTCGCTTCGAGCCTGTGCGTTATACTATCTTCCAAACCACCAAACACGTCAATCTCGCAAAACCGCGCCTGTGCCGTCACCAGCATCCAACAACACCCCGAACAGCACCCCAAACAGCCCGGTCGCCAATCCCGCAAGAATGCGCTCACAGCGTCACCAGCAAACAGCAACCCCAAACGCATGTCCGCGTCCGTCAATCTCGCAAAACCTGCTCCAGCACTCCAAACTGCAGCACCCTGCCGTCAATCTCGCAAAAATGCGCCCGCACCACCACCAGCACCTCGAAACAAACACCAGCACCCCAAACACCCAAAACTGCATGCCCCCCTAGCACCCAGCCATCAATCTCGCTTCCCCTCTTTATTAAAGTTAGAATCCCTATAGCCTTCAGCTATCTGGGGAGTTATACTAACACAAAACACTCACCCCCCCAGGGACCCAAAAAGAAAAGGTGATCACCCCTAGAGACCCAACACAGCACTTCTCAGATGCCCAGTAGCTATGGGAAAAATGGGCATCCTTGTTTGGTTAGTTGAGTTTGAGTTTAAAGGGAAACCCTTCCCCCCGCAAAAGAAAAAGGAAAAAAGGGGCGTCACTGGGCAACGGAGACGCTAAGTCCTCAAGTAGAGGTTGGAATAAGGGCACCCACCTGTTTCAGGACGTCTATTTTAGTAGGGAACCCTCCTAACCAAACAAGGGGTGAGAAAGAGCACCTAGTTGGGGGACCTACAGTGGATGGACGAAATCCTGAACCATATAAGAGCCATGGCTGAAACCATTGTTTGTTGGCATTTACAGGAATCATCATTGCAGGGGTTCTTAGGCGATTTCGCAACCATGCACAGGACGTCACAAGTTACTAAGTGGCGGTTTGGATTGTTGGCTTGGGGATTTGAACCCCTGGTTCTGGAGGGTAGATGGGAAACTCCGCCGTTTCACCACCAAACCTTCGAAGTCGAAGTCGCCTCGCGCTCCAGCACGAAGAGCTGACAGCTGGAGAGCTCCGCGCTCTGGGCGAAGACGTCCTCGGCGTCCACCTCGTTGGTGTTTTTGGTTCACCGTTTTCGCCGTGTTTTTGTGTTGTTGTTAGTTTTACCAAGTTTTTTTTGAACGTAAGGGTGCTGGTGGTTGGCCAGGTTGTTTTGTTGTTCTCTTTATTTTACCAAGGGTGGAGTGGTGATGTTTATGGTTTCTTCAAGCCAAGTTTATTTTTGTTGTTTAAACAGGTGGTTGCCTTACAAACATCTGTAACATATAGTTTGACACATGTTCTGCCATGGAGTTATAGATTCTACTTCTCCTCATGGCTGCCAACATAGCTAAGAGTTTGAACATGGCGTTTGAACATGGCAACATAGTTTGAAGAACGTGTACCAGAACAACAAAAACGTAACATAGGTTGAAGAACACGTTTTACCATGTCTCTTCATAGCAGCCCGTGGTTAATGCATTTGGGCCTATGTTTTGGCTGGTACCCTCTTCAAACCAACAGGATCGCCAAAGCCCATGATGGGTGTCCCACTGGTTTGACCCATGGCAGCAACTGCACATCGACATTTAAGGCCATGGGTCAAAATGAACATCCCAATCCCCACTAAAATACACTAAAATGGGTGGTGCACCTACCCCAAAAAGGTACCATTGGTTTTGACCCACAGCCACATAGATTATAAATGTTTATGCTCTGTAGCCGTACCATGTACTCCAATCTTCATGACACCAGGGCCATCTTTCGCAAAAACCCACAAACCATGAAGGGAATAAGGGTGCCACTGAAAGCTAAGCGACGTTCAAGAGGTTGTACAGGTAGAGACGGCCTCCCTACAATGGCCAATTGGGGTTCTGGGTAACTTTCATCTGAGGTGGAGCACTGTGTCCCTTTCCTCCGCCTCTTCTTGAATTTGTTTCGGCATGTCAGGGGCGGATAGACCTCCAGGAAACTCAAGGAATTGAAAGGGAGCGCTGCGTCAGCCTCCAAAAACAAACCGCTCAGGGCCCATGGTCTCTAGTCCAAGCCAGTCTTGGTATTGCCTAAGTGTATCCCCAGGCCCCAAGACGCATGAGCGAATTGAGACGACCGTTTTTTTGATTTGTTTTCTTTTCCTTTTTATTGTTGGGCAATGGCCCATAGGCCCAGAGTTCAGGTTTGGATGTTCCAAGTTCCAAGTTGGTTTCTGCCGTCGGCTTCTCTTTCAAAGGGTACTCTTTCCGGTGCTCGGTCACAACGAAAAAAAACAGGGGTGGATCAACAGGAAAACCCGTAGCCAAACAGGTTCCTAGAATATATTTAACATGGTGGCCGGGACACCCCGATTTTGGGACCTGGAAGTAAGATCTTATGACTTATTGGCAACAAGGCTGAGCTGCAAAACACGGGATTCTTGCTTTGAGACTACCTTCTTGGCAAAATCTTGCCCCCCCCAAAAGATATTGGTCAAAACCACTGGTACCATTTTCACTGGGGGTACGGAATTTTGACCCATGGTCATATGGACACATTTTTTACCCAGGCGCTCAAGACCTGAACTCAAACTTGCATCCTCAAGTAAAGATCTACGTTGCTCGCCACTGAACCACTGAACAACTGAACAACCGCGCCGACGCCCTGCGGGCCCGTTCTTTTTTTTCTCCGCCGGTCACAAGTCGTCCATGTCTCTGGATGCGTCGTACTGGGGGATGAGGCCCGGCACCTGCATTCGCCACTGGCGCTCCAGCTGCTGCTGCTCCTCCTGAGCGCCCCCAGCCCAGTCAGCTGGAAGCCAGCAGTCAGACTAGGTGCTCCAGTAGAGAGTTTGTTTGTCTATTTTAGTAGGAACCCTCCCCCAACAAAAAGGGAGAGAAGGGAGTGGGATTTTTCCGGACCGGGGATGAAAGTGGCCTAGAAAAAATACTTCAGGAATGAGGCAAGGCGGCGAAGGCACCCAAAATTCATGGTGGGGGTTCTCCCGTAGGCTTGATCTAGCCTGGTCTTGACCGTGGCTCACGTGGACATCCGGCCCAAATGGGAAACAAGAAAGCTGATCCCATTGGAGGGAGAGAAAGGCCCTCAACTCGAGTGAGTACAAAGGCCGAAAGTATCAGAACCGCCTCCCCCCACTCGAAATCTTCAGGGCTCCGTTCATCATGTTCCTCTGGCCACACCACATGCTCCGCCTCACAGGATTGGGGGGGGTGGGCTAAATTGAGATACAATATGTGGGATAGACTGAGGTTAGAATGGCAGCATCAAACCAAATTACCTCATGATCATAAAGGAAAACGGTCAATTTTCCGTACAAAGGACCGGCAAAGCTCAGCGCAACTTCACAGCCTGCTGGAGAACATGGAGTGTAGCCCTTGGTTGGCATTACCTTTGTTCATACAGAGTGAACCCGGCAAAGTGTATGTAGTGCAAGCCTTTCCAGGCCACTTATGGCCCGAGGGTCAATTGAAATAGTAAAAGGGGTATGTAAATCCGCCGAGCCCTCCGGTTATTTGCATATACTCACACCCAGGAGGGACCGGCGTGGTTTACAACTATTGCACTATGCGCCATACGGGAACACCTCATTTTCCCAAAATGTGGCTGCCCCAGGGCCACACACCTGACAGGGCAAGGCTGAAGAATTGGGGCTGGTCCTGGGGCTTGCCTCTTGGCCCTGGCGCTGGCCCTGTGCGTCTGGCACGCGAGGCCAGTGCGCGGAGCGTGAAAATACAAATGTGCCTAAGCCTAAGCACACCCCTTTAAGAGATACAAACAAAGCCTATCGGAAGTGTTGACAGGGAAAACAGTCGCACTCTGTGAATTCGATTACGACGGCTTTGATGGACATCATGTATATGGGGATGCTTGTCCATCCACTGTCTTTAGGGGTTCCCGTTCAACATCGTAGTTGTTTGTTGCTCAAGGACCAAGATGGTTCCCTTTGAAAAACACACACACAACCAACATAACCAAAAGGGCGGTTCGAATCGCCCTGTGCTGTCCTGGGCCTGCTGACGCTCCTGCTCGTACAAGGCGCCCTCGTGGCTGCCCCACTCCTTCCTCACGTGGCTTTCCAGTCAGTAGCAAATCGGGGGTTATCTGCAGGGTAAACCTGTGATCTCTAGGGCAAGCCTGCAATAGAAAAACTAGGGGTTGATTCTCATTCTTCTCCCTTTCCCTCTACAAACAAGTCCACCGCAGAAATTAGCAAATTCCCTCAAAAACTTGCCAAATCCCCCGGAAATTTGCACCTTCCCTTCGGCCCTTGAAGCCATGCTGAAACGCGCGGGCATTCTACATTGGAAACCAACTCGCGCATTTCGGCGCCGGCTCACTCACTAACACTTCAAGGCAAACTAAAGCACAGTATATACCTCAAAGCCAAAGCGGACTGGCCGAGGCGGTTGCGTATCCGAGCTAGGGTTTCCGCCTCGCAGAGTTTCAATGTAAAACAGGTGCAAAACAAACTGAAGAAGCTACTTACTTCGAGTGATCCCCACACTTGCAAAATGCAAGCAGGTCACTGGCACGCAAGCTCTTTTCTCAAGGTCAGGTGCAGATTTCGTGACACTTTCGCAAGGCCAGGTACAGATTTCTTGGCAGGCACAGCACTTTCGTGGCAGCGCAGCACTTTCGCAAGGTCAGCTATAGATTTTGTGGCAGGCGCAGCACTTTCACTGGGTCCAGCACAGGTGTCGTGGAAGGTGCAGCACTTTCATAGATAGGTAGATTAATAGGCAGGAAGAAAAATGCAGAGACAAATACATGGATGGATGGATGGATGGATGGATGGATGGATGGATGGATTAGAAAGATTAGACAGATAGACAGAGAAAGATGAAAGAAAAATAGACAGATAGCTAGAGAGATAGATACATAGATAGATTGATAGATACATAGATAGATATATAGATAGATAGATAGAGAGAAATTGTGCCCGCTCGGCACACCTACCTAAGTGCCAGCTCGGCACTCCCCCAAAAAAAAAGCGGCGGGCTCGGGCGACTTTTCCAGCTGGTCCTGCCGGGCGACCGGAAAAGCAGGAAAAACCGAAGAAAAAGCAGGCCTTCGCCATGTTGAAGGCCGCCTCCCGGCGGACCTTCGATGGCGCCCTCCACGGGCGACGCAAAAAAAATGAGAAGAAGCGGCCGAACGAGCACGCCTGCGACCAGGCTTCCATGACGAATCCTGGCAGGGACAGCGTGGAAGGGGAAAAAAAGGGTGCGCCTGCCACTCTGGGCCGCCCCAGACCGGGGCGGCCCAGCCAGCCCGACAGACGGGAAAAAAAAGAAGAAAAAAGGCGGGCGAAACCGGGCCTGGGGAGGAGCCCACAGCCCCCAGGTCTCGCCCTGACGGGGAACGACAACATTCGTCTCCACCTCTGCCAGCACTCATGGCGGCGGGCCGGGAAAAAAAGGCGTCCCCGTACCCGAAAAAATGTTCCCTATGCTTGCAAAATGCCCCGCAGTTAGTAAGATAGATGCGCCGGGTTTTCAAAATCCAGAGATCCTCGCCCTCGCCTGAGAGGTGGGTTGCGGATGCAACTATCAAGCCCACGCGTCAACAGACGGATAAGGAAGTCACCTTCTAGTGACATGATGTGGACTCTCGCACGGACATGCCAAGAAAAGCTGTCTGTTTTCTGCAGAGTGGATCTTTCCCGCATCCGAAATGAATCTAAGCACCAAAAACTTTTCTGCATTGGGCCCAGCTCCCAAGCATCAAGCTTCTCGATTAGCTCTTCGCGGGCTATTGCCCTGCTGGGAATACAGCAGGTCATCAACAGGAACAACGCTGGTGCCGACATGCTCCAGAACGATGCTGTCAGGCCCCGTTGGCGACGTAGTGTGGGAGGAGGAGACTGTCGTGACTCAGTCCCCAAACAATTTCCACGCACCTTTCTTCGGGATGAACTCATCCCAAGAGCGCTTGCCAGGAGCCCATGGGATTTCAGCCGTCCTGAAAAAACATGGTGTTGATGTCGCAAACTGCTCGCCGTCATTGCGCTGAAAACCATCATCGGCCATATCGGCCTTGAAAATCCAGAGTGTGTGTCCCTTCCTGTCGCCCGGAAGGCCGGGTGCTCCAAACCAGAGACTCGATATTCGTAGCGTTGCTTGTCCTTCTAGGTGCCAATGAAGAAGCTTCAGTCTGCCATTAGACTTGTGCCGCAGCAAGCAAGCAAAAGGGGGCAAGCAACTTTAAACAGCATGAGTTGAGTCGAAGTGCCCTCAGAACCCCTCAGAATAGATAGATAGGCAGAGAGATAAGAGGTAGATAGATGGGAAGACAGAAGCTAGATAGATAGATAAACAGGCGGATAGACAGACAGATAAATGGCTAGATGGATGGATAGAGAGACAGAGATAGAGAGACAGAGATAGGGAGAGAGAGAGAGAGGTACATACAGAGATGGATAGTCGGAAGGTAGGTAGATAAACAGATAGATAGGCAGAGAGAAAGAAGTAGATAGAGACATTGATAGATAGACAAACAGATAGATAGATGGAGAGAGAGAGAGAGAGAGAGAGAGAGAGAGAGAGAGAGGGAGAGGGAGAGAGAGAGAGAGAGAATTAGCTAGGTATGTAGATAGACGGAAAATGAAAGTCAGACAAACAGATAGATGCATGGCTCGATAGCAGACAGAGAAGGTAGGAAGATAGATAGACAGAAACATAGATAGGCAGATAGAAACATAGAGAGGTGGATGGACAGAAAGCAAGTAGGCCCTTCTGGCCAAAAAGCCAAGCTGAGATAAAATGAGAGGTGGGGAAATATGCTACTGCTTCTGGCAGTTTTGCCACTGCCGGAAGTAAAACAAGTGTTGCTTTTTGCACTTTAACTTTTCACTGCTGACGGGTCCAAACTTTCGACTGTTTTGCTTTTGTGTTACTCTTAGTGGGGATGAAGCTGCAAAACTGCCAGAAGCGAGCGTTTGACTCACGAGGTGGAACATCCAGGCTTGCCAAAGCAAACGTGCAAAAACTCCCTTTGACGTGTTTCTCAACTGTTGCTAGACTGCAGCTACACAGGTCAAACAAAGCAAAACCGATTCCAAACTAGAAACAAGCGCTGCTACTAAACTCATCAGCACTGCTTGACCGATTTAATTCGCATCAATACTAAAGCACTACTACACGACGCCAATATTGAGTTCAAGCAAGCCTGCGCCGGAGTTCAAGCCGCGTAGCAAAAAACAGCTTTGCACTCGCATGGCTGTGTGTTGCATTGGCCAGACTTTACTGACTGGTTTCAGATCCAGCAAATTTGGACAGCGGCCCCACCTATTCATTCAGAAAAAAAAGATCCAAAAACAGTCTGTTCGTCATTTGCAACTCTGCAGAAACAACAATTGCCGGGCCAATATGAAATGGGTCCCTTCTGGGTTTCCAACTTGCTCCGACTTACATTTGGGTTTTCCGTTTGCACCAACCTCAAAACGGGTACCCTCAAAAAAAGACACTCCGATCTAGGGCCTCCGTAGCTCAACCTTCACTCCATCTGAGCCATGCAAAAAATACTGATAGACTCCGCTGCGATAGCGCTTCTTCGCGCACACAACCAGCTTACGCGCGGAAGTGTCCACCGGCAGAGTTTACCTTACAAGCCGTGCATGCAACAATTCTGCATGCCACCACCACAGCTACAGCTTACACGAGGCCATTCCGGCGCAAAGTGCATTCACTACGGGAGTACACAAAGTGCACTTTGGAAGCTCCAGCTCGCAAATCGCAACTCTTCCAAGAACAGCTCGTGATGCAAACCTTTGGGTTTCGAGCATGGTCCGCCTCAACAGTTGCAGCTGCTCAGTACAAGTCGCGCAAGCGGCGCAGCTTACCTTCAAGGATACTCGTAACTCGGAACAACATGCTTACGCGGACCTACGCGCTTGCATGTGTCGCTTACGCGGGCCCCTGCTTCAATCCGTTTGTTGGCACTTTCAGTCACCATGTTTTAGGGTCAAGGAAACCAAAGGTAAATCATCAGCGTGCTTTCTGGCTTCTTCTCTTCTTCTATTTTTCTGGGGGGGGGCTCACGTGAGCTCACGTGGATTGGCCCCCGAACAAGACACAACGTTTCCGTACCACTGATGGTCTTCCCAAAAGTCAGCAGTGGGAAGTGAGTTGGACCATTTTCGAAGTGAGGCTGGTAAACCGGCAAACGTGCTTAAAGATTCTAGAATTGCTCAGTTGCCCACAGTGATTTTGACAAAGTGAAACCCTAAGAAGCATTTTAGGGGCAACCAAACTAACAGTCTAGAAAATGGTTTGGAGTACTCGTTTAGTGCTCTTTTGGTGCTCTTTTAATATCCTACAGGGGTGGATCCACAAAGCCGCCGTATCTAAACCGTTTTCTGGAAACAGGCAGATCAGAAGGGGGTTTCTCCCAGATGAAACCCACCACTTGCTTCCGACAAGGTAACTTCAAGATCGCAAACCTGTGGCCCTGCAAATGGTCGCACGGTGCTTGATTTGCAGCAACAAACACAGAGAAAAAATCCAACACCCGAACAAGGGTGCATTTTCTAGAGGTCCCCAAGTGTAACTTCAAGATCCAACATAACACATTGCCATAAAAAATGACTTACTAATATCCCAATATACAACAAAAGCACCGTGGGTCGAACAAACCGATCTAAAAGTCTCTGAGAAAAGGTGGTCCTACTCACCCCTTGTACCTACCCCCTTAGAGACTCCCTTCCTGACTAAAATTGGCCAAAACAAGTCACCAAACACTTTATTTACCACCAACACGGTCTTCCCAAAAAGTGACCAAAGTCCGAAACGGAACCTGGGAAGTGAAATACTAGTTCTTTCCAAACTGACCTATCACAAGGACACCTGCAAGTCAAGCTTCAGCTGAATGAGGAAGTCCCGGATGTGCTGTTGAAAGTCGTTCGGCTGTCGGGCCTTGTTGAAGCAGTGCAGAACAAAGATCTCCACCTCCAGCCAAATTCTGGCTTTCATGATTGGAAGGGTAGCAATTGGCTGCTGTAACGGCCCCTCTGCAAAAGCTTTTCAACTTGTTGTGGGTCCAATTCGGACAATCCGACCTGTTTCAACCAAAAAGCTAGTCCAAAGTCCTGTCAGCTTTCAAGAGGAAATTGATCTTGCAGGTACCCTCCCACAGTCGCTATTGTTAGTGGGAGGAAGGGTTGCCCTCTTGTTATTTTCCGTAATTGGTTGTTTGGCTTGGTGGTTTGTTGGAAGTTACCTATTTACCCTCAGCAAGAACCGGGGGGTTAGAATCCAAATCCAAACTACCAAACTACCAACAAGGGTTATCTGATCATTGTTTGCTTTGGGTGACAGAAACGACGATTCTACCCGTACTTCTCCCATTCTTTTTAGGTATCAATGATTTTCAATAACAGAAATAACCAGGGAAGTTGGCCTTTTGAAAAGAACCAGGTGCAAAAAACAGGACAATCGGAATCATCCCTTGAAAGGGTTGCTCCGAACTCCGGTTCGGGAGTTCCACTTTCCTAGGATGCCAAAGTAAACCTAGGCACCTTCGACACTTCAGGGACCGTTTTTTGAACCTTCATGCTCTGTGTGTTCATCCTTATCTCACTTGCCCTTCAGGGCCCCAGAAATAAGAGGTGATCACCTTTTGACCCACTATTTCAGCTTCCTTCCAATGGGTGATTTGGATTGGTGTCGGTCCTCTCAGGACCACAATCTTGGAACCACTGCATGTTTCAGCTTGCCTCCAATCGGTGGTGGTGCAACGGGGTTGCCCATTTAGCCTCTACAAGAACCAGGGTTCAAATCCCACATCCCCAAAGCACCGTCGGCTCCAAACCACGCGGCTTAAGGTAACATATAGCGACCAGCGGCTCCTGCGGCAAAGCGCCGGTGCCAACCCGCGACCCGCCCCGCCTGGCTCTTGTTCAAGGTGGGGAAGCTCTTTCCGATCAGGTCGAACCTGGCAAAATGTCATCCAACCATCGGTTTCCACATGGGGGGGTCGTTTTTTTCAGGGTACCCGCCCGTTTCTCTTTGGCTTTTAAGGGGAACCCCCCAAACAAATATAATTCACATCACCATGTTGGGGGGTTTCCCTCAAAAAGAAAAACCACACCCAAAGGAAGAAGCAACAAAAAAAAGGAGAGAAAAAAAGAGACGCCTCCCTAAGCGGCCAACGCGCGAAGTCTGCTGCTGGGGCGCAGGAACTCCATGACCTGCTGCTTGGGCGCAGCCTCCTTCAAGGTGCCGCTTTCCACGGCGAGGATCAGCTGCAGCAGGATGTGCCTCAGGACAAAAAAAGGCCCGGATGGGGCTGGGGGGGGGGAGCTTCACGTGCAGCAGGATCGACACTCTTTTCGTCTCCCTTCTTGTTCTTGTTGGCTCTAAAACACCTGGAAAAATGGAAACTGACAAACTTAGACTCTTAAGCACAGCGCGCATGTTGCGACTCTCGAAACCACTTTGGGGGCTGGCTGCCCTTGGAACCATCTAGGTACCTTGAGGAATGGACTTGAGAGAAACAACCGACTCTTTCGAAGAATTTCCCAGTTCAACACCAAACCAACAGGAGATCCATGACCTTCCTTTGGGTGAATTCGGATGATTCAGCCACCCAAAGATTGAGTAAACCCCATGTATGAAAGGTCTTCGTTAATGAGGTCCACACCCTCTTTGCGAGGTCGCGAATGCGCATGAAACCTGGCTAGGTCCTCCAGTAGAGAGGTTAGAATCAGGGTACCCTTTTTTTCTGTAGTCTATTTTAGTAGGGGAACCCTCCCCCAAAAAAGGGTGAGAAAGGGCACTACTGGGGCACCTAGCTGGCATACAAAAACAGTTTTCTCTTCGCCGCCTTCGCCGCGCAGAATCGTTTTGGGCCGGGGCGCTGCTGCAACTTGAAGCCGCTCTTGTGAAAGGTGTCCGTCAGCACGCAGAGTACATCCTGCAAAATCAGGAAGAAGTACTGCTTGAAGAAGGGCACGTAGATATTGCCCGGCCCCGTGAGCAATCTCTCCAAGAACTGCGAGAGCACTTGCCTCAGAAGTGGCTTCATACATCTTCGTACACTGGCTGAAAGGGCCTGCCTGAGTTAGTTTTCGTTGCTTGCGAGACTCGCGTCAACACGAGACCGCAAACGTCCTAACTCCCAAAGTTGGCTATGCAAAACATGTTGCATGCCTGAAAGCATTGCGTTGAAAACAAGTAGCTCAACACAATCTCACCCGGCAACTCTCCTGACACTTTTGAGCAAACTGTGGTGCAAACTCGCCCAGACCGTGCGTTGGCTGTGAAGCTTTTAGACGCGTCTTGCCGAACCGAACACCCAAACCGACCAAATCTGATATTATTTTGTTGCAGGCCTGAAATCAGCAAACTCTTTATCAACTCCATTCGACAAAGATTGTCCAAGACTGCCAGGCCGCGGTTCAAAGAATATTTCAGAATTCATCCCCAACACTAAACAGGCAGGGTTACACAACAGGACGCGCTTGACTGATAATGGCCTGAAGCAGATTCAAGTAATCTGGTATCACATTTGCAGTCCTACTGCAGTTTGCATTGATCATGATGGGTGACTCGCGGAAACTGATGCTAAACAAATTAATTGCTATCCAAATCCTCCTATAGTTATGCCTAAACTTGGCTTGACGTGCGGTGTCAACATATCCCACAATCTCATTCGCCAGAGAAAGTAGATGGCACAGGTTCCTGTATGGGAAGGGGATGACTGAACCAATATGGATGTGTCTCAGAATAGTGAACCCCAAAAGATGGTGGGGTCCCTTTGGTTTTTCTTTAACGCAACAAACAAATGGCCCCCTCAACAAAAGACACCCACAAAACATGGGTACCCTCAAAAAACAACACTCATATGAAAGCCACACAAACTGGGTCCCTCAATAAAAGACACCCATATGAAAGACACAAAACATGTGTACCCTCAAAAAAACAACACTCATATGAAAGCCACACAAACTGGGTACCCTCAAAAAAACACAAACCCATACAAAAGCCACAAAAACTGGGTATCCCCAACAATAAAGAAACATCAATATTGGGGGATGGCGCCATGTACTGCCTTGCAGAGTTGCAACCCGCTGTCGGCCACCTGTGGTTGCTCGTGCTTCATGGCCCAAAGCAAGCTGTCCACGTACAGCTTCACCTGTGCCTCCGGCAGGAAGAACAACGCCTCCGGCGCAAGGCTTGGGAAATCATAGGGAGCTTCCCCTGATGGGTGTGTGTTTGAAACCCGCAAAATGCACCAAGTTCGACCCCAATAATGAGAATTACCCCAATAGTTTCAAAAACCCAACCCCCATGAGGGGCCCTTCTGCAAAATCGGTGGATCCTTTTGGGCGAAATAGATGGCACATAGTTTTTGCCTGGCCCAACCATAGGCCTTCCATGACCAACCGAAAGAGTTGTGGGCTTCCTTTGTGTTTCGGCCATTGGGACATGGAAGCCCCGGAGTGGATCTGTTTGCCAGGCTAACTTTTCAGTTAGCCATCGGCATCCAAATGCTCCAACGGGGATTTGGGTGAAAAGATGACCTGATGTCGGTCTTTCCCTGCCGCCCAGGGAAGCGGAAAGGCCGCCTTCATTTTGAGTCGGCACACCAAGAGATCCAGCCCTGGTCCATAGGTTTCATGCTAAGATGATGGGTTCCACGGGATTCAACCAATTTCAGGTCGTTACTGCCGTCGAGTTTTGCCAACACCAAGAGTTGCTTTTTTCTTTCTTTTCTTTCTGGTAAGACACACCTTTTTCCCGAATGCACGGCCATGGAAGCGCGCCTGGAAGCAATGCGCATTGATGGCTTTCAGCAGGTCGTACAACTTCACCTGCGAGGAAAAGGCCATGGGTGTCCGCTGCAAATGCCATAAAACCAAACTGAAGGGCCACCTAAAAAGGACACCTGTGGAGAACAGGCCGAACCTGGATTTCCCCAAAGGTTGATGATTTTACTTGTGGTTTCCCTTGAACCCATTGCCACTTTGAGAGGTTCCAAAACGGGAAATGGAGGAAACTCTGCATGAACAGAGCAAAAAATACATTTGTAGAGAAACATCATGAAGATGAACGATTGAAGCATAAGAACACAGCACAAATCAAGTTTGGGGCTATTCATACTGATGTGGCTTCTTTCGTGCCAATTAGCGAGGAGCTGAGGGAGGATTCCGCTTCCAGCCAGCTACCTCAGAAGTACCTGGAGTCTCCATGACCCTCAAACACTGGGTCAAAAACTGGGTCATGACCCCTTTATTTTGAACCCCATTTTTAAAGGGCCATGGAGACTCCAGGTACATTCAAGGGGGCTCGATGGAATTCCTGTCACTGCTATATATCCCTGCCGAGCTTGACCTCATGCGCCGAGTCGCCCTGTGGTCCGGGTAGCTCTGGAAGTCCCCCTTGATCATGTCGCAAGTGCACTCCAGCACCATCTCGAAAATCTTCCCAACCTGGTTAAACATCTGAAGGCCCCGCACCCAATGGCCCAAGGCTGTAAAACCTGAGCCGTGGTTCGTTTTTAAGGGTTCCTAGTGTGAATCTGGCTATCAGTCCGGCGCACTTTTGTCTGTGCGCTTCGAGTACAAAGCGGCTTCCGGATCCGCTCCTAATCTCAAACCTCAAGCAAGGGGCCTCATGTGGCTACCCTCAAACTGTTTTGGAAAACCTGCACTCCTCCCCTTTGTGTCCGGGAGGACTCAAATGACAAAAGTCGGCAGTCAGTGCTGCCTTGCGAGCCTCTCACGTCATCCGAAGAACGTGTTCAGCTCAAGCCGCTCATAGGAGTCCACGCGGAAACCGGCCCGCGTCTCTCATCATCTCTTCATTGTCCTGCGTTATTCCTCCCTGGCAGAATCTGCACGGCTGCAAGGGTCGAAGTGGAGCCTGTCCAATGCCGGCGCAGTGAATGGTCGCGTGCAAGAAGCCGTCATCTCCTCTCCAGCTCCTGGCCCCACGAACTCGCTGCCTGTCTCCTCCCATCCAGCATCTGGAACAAGGCAAAACCGCCCGCATTCCGCGAACTGTGGTGTTTCGCAACCCGTAACAGTTGCGGCGCCAATGTATCTTGTCACCCATTCCGGTCAAGTGATATACCTCGACCGCTTCAGGCTCAGGTTGCAACTCCCGCCACCGCAGCTGCTCCATCACCCGCAATTCCTCCCGCCAGCGTGCATTCAAGCGTTCGTCCTCCGCATCCGGTTCCACTGGCCTAGGCGGAGGTTGTTCCACAGCTGGCTGTTCTGGTTGATCAGCGTCTCCCCCACGGCGCCTCCTCATTGAACTTGCCCTCGAGGGATTCCCGCTTCCCGAGCTGGAAGACCTGGCCGCCGAAGTGCTCTGTGTTCTCGGCACCTCCACGACTTCTTCCTCACTTTCCGTTTGGGTGCACTGCTCCACACCTCTCACTCTCAATCTTCTCATCCTCAGACAGATGTCCGATGCCACTTCGTGAACCAAGCGGTACACCACACTGCGATCACCAAGACCACCACCGCAAGGTCAATCTTCTCCTCCTCCGGCTGTTGATTCCCTTGTGCCCTGCATCCTGTGATCATGATCAAGATCACCAGCAGCTTGATCCACTTGTCCACCTCCGGCTGCATTACCACGGCCTTGTTCAGCCTGCTTTGTTCAGCCTCTTCTCGCATGGCCTTCAGGTTCCACAAGGCACACAGCTCCTTGATCCTCGCCGGGCCCAGTGGCTTTGTGCCAAGATCGGCCAACATCTGTTGTCCAGGGCAATGGCGTAACTCCCAATCCCCGGCTCTGATTCGCCACCGAAGATGAAACGCTCGAAGCCGGAGATGCCGCGTTCGCCAGGAACCCGTCACGTCGGTGGCAATCGCCACCGCTGCTGCGTTGTCAGACAGCAGCATCTTCTTGAAGTCGTCCAGCCCCAAGGTGTCCGTGATCAGCGCCTCAACACTGTCCCCAAGGATCACGCTGTCAATGGCCTCGATCAACTCACATTCCGCCGTGGATAAGGCCGGAAACGCTTGCTTCCCTGCTTTCCACGCGATGACAGTGCCGTTCCACGACACCAGGGAGCATCCTTGGCTTCTTTCCCCAAGTGGGGCGAAGGAGGCATCAGCGTATGCCTGAAGTCCTGCTGCTCCATGGCCGCTCCAATGCCGTCCAGATTCTCCTGATACCCACAGCCCCCAGTCCTTCGTTGAGTCCAGGTAGCCCAGGATATAGCCCGCAGCTCTGACGACCCATTTCGGGTTCTTCGACACCATACTGCATAGTCGGCTCATGCTGTAGAGGAGGTCGGGCCGTGTTCTCGTCATCAACCACAAGATCTCGCCCGTCACCTTCTGTGCCTTTGCGAGATCCGTCATCGTGTGGTTGCCGATCGTCTCCTCAGCTTCATCCGCCATTTCCTTGGACATGGGCGCCTTCGCCTTCTTCACCTCGTCCTTGTGCCGGGTCAGCAGTTCCTCCACGTAGTCCTGCTGGTGTAGGAAGATTCCTTTCTCCTCCTTTTTCAAGTTCATTCCCAGAAATCGGATCTGATTCCCGGTCTTCAGCACCTCCGGCACGCTCGTCTCCCATTTCTCCGCAATGATGGCCTCAAACCTTTCTCGCACGGCCTCCTCCGCCGCAGTGAGGACATCATCGACATAGATGGTGACCAGTCCCGCCAATATCTCCTCCGCGCCTCGGATTTCCAGGATGCGCCACAAATTCTGTTCTGCAGCACACTGATCCAACTTGTAGTAGGCGCCGTTGACCTCCCACTGGACCGTCACGAGCTCCGCGTCTCGGTGGTCTGACCACCTTCTCGGGCTTTGGCGAAGCCCATACATGGCTTTGTCTATCAGCCATAGCTCTCCGGGCTCTGCGTAGCCCATCCTGACCATGATCGCCGGCGGTCGCATCGCCACCAGGTGCTCCGGCTCCTTTTCACCATGAAGATCTGCATTGAGGAATGCAGACTTGATGTCCAACGCGGACATCGTCCATTTCCTCTCCATGGCGACCTTCACCTGCAAGCGGATCGCCGTGATGTCCGTACCACCTGCAAAGGTGTCTCCTTCCGCCTCCGAATTCTGGGCGACGTAGTTCCCGCACACCACCAACCTGGTCTTCCGCCGCGAACTTCCCGCTTTCACACTGAAAATTGCCTTGCCCGGGACCACGGTCAGCTTGTTGCCCTTCTCCTTGATCAGCTTCGCGGCTTCCCCAGGAGCCAATCGCCGCAACGCCTTCTTTTCTGTCATCAGCGAGTCCAGCTCCATCTTGATCGACGTTGCCCAGGCTTCCTTGTCCGCGATCACCTCATTCGTGGAGACCATCTTTGTATGCAAGACCTTCTCTGCCTCCTTGTGGTCCGGCACGGTCTGCTTCAGGTTCTCCTCTTCTTCCTTCAGCTTCCTCACCATCTTGAAGGTGACCTCAGCTGCGTTTTCTCCGTCTTCCAACATCCTTTCTTCCTCCTCCATGATGAGGTTCCGCAACAATCGAATCCGCTCCGCAACCTGCTCACCTCCTCCATCGTCCATCCTTCTCGGATCGCTCGTCTTCATCCTCAGTCGTCTTCTCACACGCAGAGCTTCATCAAACAGAGCTTCCCCATCAGGATTCTCTTCCTCCTCTTGTCCGTCTGCTCTCGGGGCTTCCCCTTCTCGCAAGCCTGAGAGAACCTTCGACACCGCCACCACCTTGTTGTCACAGTCCAGCTTCACCGCATGACCGTGGGTGATGTCATAGAGCGGGGCCAGGTACTTGCCTCGCTGATTCTTTGCCTCAAAGGATTTCTGCTTCCAAGCTCTCTTTGGTACCACAACCTCCTCTCCGAATTGGTACTTCGGATGGTCTCCGGTCTGGTCGAACCTGAAGCGCACCTCCGAGACGTAGCGGGCGATGCAGGGCCACCATTTTGGTTTTCATCGTGATGCTATCAGCACCCTCCTTACCATGGATTTGACGACCCCAACTGCGGCCTCCGCCCTTCCGTTCTCCTGCATCTGATCCGGTGTCCTGGTGGACTTTCTAATGTCCCTCAGTCGGCACCAGCTGGCTAGTTCCTTGCTCATGAACTCGCCTCCTTTGTCTGAGTGCAGTCTCAGCACCAGGTGGCCCTCTCTCCTCAGTCTGATATAGACCTCCTGGATCGCCGCCAAGACCTCCCGCTTGTCCTTGGACTTCAGCGGGACCGTCATGTACAACGTCTTCAGCGGGTGCGGTTCCTTCTGGATTTCCGGAATCACCGGCTGCTCCTCCTCTTCTCGGGCTCCTTCCACATTGAAGCCTTCTTCTTCCTCCTGCTCGCCCTGATCCTCCTTTTCCTCCACCGGTAGTAGATCTTCTCCCTCGCCTGGTTCTGCAGCAGGAAGTTCCTCACCTTCCTCGGTGTTGATCTGTGGCCATGTAAACGCAGCCACGAGCAGGTACCTTCGGTCTTGGACTCCATCCACATCGATGCCCTTGATGAACGGTCCACTCAAATCCACGGAGAGGACATTCCCGGCTGGATGTCGTACCCTTCGATGTGGCCTGTCCTTGGCTGAGGCTTCCTGACAAACTCGGCAGTCCCGCCGAAACGGCAGGTGCCCCAACTTCACATGCTCTTCCCACGACAGAGCCTTCACCTTCGTTCTCGACTCACCGTCCACCTCCTTCCGAAGGCATCTGGCGAGCTCCCGCATCATCCCAGGGGCCCATCGAGCCAATGCCTTCGAGGAGCTGAGCTTCTCCTCATCCGTCATCATCCACCTCGGCTTGTCCGTCTCCTGTTCTTGCCCTTGATGACCTCCTTGATGTAGCTTGCAGATGCCTTTCTCGGGGCCTCTGAAGTCCATGGTGGTCCCGATCGTTGTAGGCTTCGCCGCTCGCCCACCCCAGTCACCTTGCAAGAACGTCACCCTCTTGAGCTCGTGGAGCTTCTCCAGGGCTTCCCACTCCGGCGTCCGCCACCACGATGCACATCTCGGCTCCGCCTGCGGCTCTGCCGGTTGCTCCAGGAAGAACTCCACAGCGCCCCCTTTCTCCTCTCTGGCCTTTGCCGTGAGGTCCGCCAACAAGTAGACCAGGATGAAGCGAAACATGAGCACGTCATCCTCGTACACAATGGCTTCTTCTCCTTGGTCCATTCCCGGCAATCCCCAGGGATGTTCCACCGTTCTCACCGGTCGCGGTTTGGCCCTGTTGAGCAATGGGAAGAACCGCAGCACTGATCGCGTCCTGCAATTTGGGCCCCCCACCACTGCCTTGATTCGGTCATCCAAAGCCAGCCGCACCAAGCCACCCATGAGCTCGTCGTCCATGAGGTCGTGGCTGTTATCGCGGAGGATGTCATACTCCAGGATGTCCCTTGGATCACCTCCTTGCTCTTTATAAGCCCGGGACAAGTCAAATCCCTCCTCCGGGCCTGCGAACAAGTGCACGATCGCACCTCCCTTTTTCTCAAGCCTTCTCCTCCGGCTCCTATTCAATCCCAGAGGTTTCC